AGACCACTGAATACAACCATTTAATAGATGTCTATAGTCTGGAACTCATTGGAGCGAAAATATTTGGTTTCGATTCCGACGATATCAGAGACGGAGTGTATGTTTATATAATATATAAATTTATTTATACCTAATTATACTCATTTAAACTCAAATATAATTATTGCTTTAGATTTGAGTTCGATTTTAACAGTATTATTAACTTTAATCTGCGGCTAAAATTGGTTCAAATGTACACTTTATTGGTGTCAATGAGTGTTAGTATATATACAGAGAATTGTGAAGAGATTAAGGATATATGGAAACAAAGGCCCGAATGTGAAGTAATTTTGCGCCAATTAAAACATTTATCGATTGAACCGATTGTGGAGAAAAACGATTTAATATACAATAATTTATGTGAAAATCAATTCAAATTATTATTCGCGTATTTTTTACATTTTTATAAAAATTTTGTTATTTGTCAAACATGTGATGTAAATAAAGGTAATATTAAATAAATATTTTATTTACATTTATGGTTTTTATAAACTTTTATAATAATATTTAATTCTAAATTGATTGCTATATTATTATAGATATTGGTCAAATTGTCTTATCGTGTGTAGATCAGGGCCATATGTTTAAAGCTAAATTAAACCGTGAAAGGTGTATTAAATCACAAAATATTAAATCCAAAATATTTTATTATGTACAAAAGTTAAAATATTATAGTAAGTATTACATTAAATACAGTATTATATTTAATATTTAATAATATATTAGGGGGAATTATTTTCGGGCAAATAGCCAACCTGATTAATAGTGGTACTAAAATGTGCAGAATAGACACCAGCTGTATCATAAATGGTCAAAATCGGCAAATGATCAGAGACGGTCGAGTACTGCCCAATTTTCAAATCACTCGCCTATTGCTTATAGCATTAACAAAAGGTGATTCACATAATGATTGGTCGATCACATGAATGTAATGCTATAAGCTATAGACGACTGATTTGAAAATTGGCCAGTACTTTACCGTCTCTGGCCATTTGCCAATTTTGACTATCGATATACACCTGGTGGCCATTATGCACATTTTAGTATCACTATTAATAAGGTTGGTCATTTGCCCCGAAAATAATTCCGCCCTAAGTAAACATTTTATTCCATAGATTTGGATATTATACAGCAAAATATAGTAAATATTAGAAAAATATTTGCAATCAAACCAAAAGATTTGCTTCAAATTTATAATTCCTGGTTTGAAAACAATGAGATTTCAATTCAAATGGAGTTTTGTTCGCAAACTCTATGGGATGTCATAAATGCAAAACAAGCGATATTTGGGACACAAACCCATCACTCGTTGGCAATCATTTCAATTNGATGTCATAAATGCAAAACAAGCGATATTTGGGACACAAACCCATCACTCGTTGGCAATCATTTCAATTGATTTCCTTATTTCACAGCAATTGTTGAGACAATTATTACATTGTATTCAAGCAGTTATTGCTTTGGATATACACGTGAAAAACATATCGCTTAACACAAATCATATATTCATAACTACTAGACATGAAATTAATGAAACTTGCATGAAATTATATTGTGTTGATTATAGTAATGTTTTTGTTTATGACTATAATGTAGAAAAATCTACCAGCATAGAAGAAATAATGCAAAAATTGTTTGAAATACAATTAAAGTACATCAAGTATGAATATTAATTATAATATAGTTGTTATTAATTATATAGTAAACATATATTTAAATAAAATTTTATTTATTCCATAGAAATGGCTCTAAAAGTAACGATTATAAGACATATATTTTGAATACTTTTGGTGTAAATGTTGATCAAATCCAAGCATTTATTACTGAATTACTCGAGAGACCAAAGGCTATAGAAATTGAGTTAAAGGATATAATGAATAAATTCAATAGTATTTTTGGTGAAAAATATGTCGATCTTGGTGAACTAAATGCTAAAATGTATTATTTACACTGGTTACGTATGAAAAGCATCATACTTTCAGAAACACCATTATCTCCTACGACTGATTATCAATTAATTTACCATATATTCAAATATATACTCAAAGAACAATTACAATCAGAGGTCTGCTAGCTTTTAGAATTCACACAAATTTCGTATATATAAACTTATAAATTAATGCTAAAACAAGCTATCTACTGTAGATATCTTGTTTTTAACATTAATTTATAAGTTGATATAATTATATATATAAGTTTATATATACGAAATTTGTGTGAATTCTAAAATCTAGCAGACCTCTGATTACAATGCTAGATTGCTAAATTAAAATTTATAAATATTTATTACACATGAAATAAATTCTATTGAAATTATAATATACACTTTGATTATAAGTTATATATTGAATATTATTTGCATTTAAAAATAATTAAAAATATTATTATTTATTGAAATTATTGAAATAAATTTTTATTTAACCTTATACCAAAATAACCATATAATTGTTAATGTTAATCATCATTTCTCAATGCATAGAGATGTAAGAAAATAACAATAAATCTAGCTATAACGCGACTGTTTGTAGCCATTGGCACAATTTGCTAACTGAATACTGTTCTCGTGGCCACACTCTACCCATACATACCAAACCCGCACCGGAACCGGACAGCCCCTTTTGGTTGTATCCCGATTAAGCTATTATTTGAGCATCATCATGTGCATTTGAGCATGTGCAACAAAAAAAGTGTGGACTAATAAAACTGATTCCCCGGGCGGTGTTAACACATGAGTTGACAATTTATACGATCAGCGTTTGCACTGACGATACGGTCATACGATAGTGATTGGCATTAATTGTCTGGATTTGAGACAAAGGGTTGTGTTTAACACAAATAAGCGACGAAATAATTGTATTTAAAACAAATTATGGCAAATAAAACGCCGCTTAAAGTGTTATTTGTGCCGATCTTAGCCGAGGGTCACGTAAATCCCTGTATCGGTATTGCGAAGCAATTGTTAGCCGACGGACACCGCGCGGTGTTTACGGCGAACGATGTCTGGCGACCAAAACTGGCCGCTTATGGCATCGAAACGGTAGAGTTGGCCAAAACTAACGCAACAGATGAGGGGGTGATCGATATGGACCGCAGCGCGCAGTTTATGCTGTCTTCTGGTAAGATTGGCGGCGCGTCGGCCATAGAGCAGGTCCGACACGAGGCAAACACCGCCGAGTTTTGGACAAAACACGCCCAGTATTTGGACACACAGTTGGCCGCTCTGTTGCCCGCCATTCGGCCGGATGTCATAGTTGTGGATCAGTTGGTGACACTGCCAGCGGTGCAGTTGTCGGGCATACCGTGTGTGTGGTGTTGGAGCGCCGGCCCTCTCGTGATGCTCGACGATGAGATGACACCGCCCGGTGAATCAGGTTTGTTAGCATTTTAATAGCCTCAAACCTATTGTTTCGCTATCAATCCACCCCCTCCCCACTCCACTACCCTATGG